TGTTACATAAGTTTTGCCGTTTCTGCGGTTAACGGTTCCTTACCTTGCGCTACGGCCAGAGGCGGATGATCGTGTGCCCTACCCAGAGGTATTTAGGTTCTCACGCGGACGGAGGAACTGGACTGAAAGTTACTAGGGACTACGGGTAAACATTTTGAGCGGGCGGACCGGTTATTAATAAGGAAGCAAAACGCTTCCTTACAGTATCTTATTCAAAATTCCTCTTGATTCTCAATATTTTCGATCAGTAATTAAATTCCTGCCAGTAAGAAAATCCGCAATTACTCCGGCAGAAGTACACCGCCATTACTCGAACTTGTTGAGTATGAAATGGAATCTTTTTGATGGATCGTTGTTGTAGGCAACGGCATTTGGTTTCCAGATATTAATATAGATGCCTGCTTCTAAAATCGCCCATGTAGCACTATATTTTCGGCTGAATGTCTTGCGATTCTAGAAGCCATCCGCTTAGCGAATACTCAATCTCAAAAAAAATTCCTTAGAGTGTCAGACTCTAAATTTGTCTTATTCGCTTTACAATCATTTCGCTCAGGTAAAACTGACCTCTACGTATTAGAAATCAGATCCTTACTTTATGGTCTCAAGTCTGATACATTTTGTTTTCACTTGCACTGGGTGCCCAGTCACATGGGTATTCTTGGCAACAGCACTGCAAATAAAACTGCATCTACCAAATCATCTTGTTTTAATGACAATCGACAAAAAGCATTCAATTCTTTCAACAGCGTTGGGATCACTCACGTTATGGTCGTCATTTATACTCTCTATTTCCACAAATGAACAAAGCCCCTTACTTTACTATTTCTCAGACGTGACATTATTTGCCTTATTAACAGGGCGGTGTTCAATCACACGAGATGTAATAATCATCTATTCAAAATTAACATAGTAAACAACTCTTCATGCATGTGGGGAGTCTTAAACGTCACCATTTCTGTTCGGCATTCCACACTTCGCAAATTAAGTAAATTCTTCATGACCAGAGCATTCTTGACATTCTACGTTGTCGAATTTTTTTCTTTTTTTAAATCATCCCATCAAGACATAAAGGCGCTGTAAGGGCATAACCCGCCCGTTCTCTGGGGCTGGTGTAGCTCAGCGACCCAGGAATTGGTCACAAGAAATTTGTATTGATTTCGGTTGTGGTATTCTTTATTTTATTCTGCTCGCTCGCGACCCACTTCTTCGAGAGTCCACACTTGATTTCCTTAAACTAACTTAACTTACTAACTTTACTTTCTAATTCTACACAGTCTACTCTTAACCTACTCCTAGTCCTACTTTAACCCACTCTTAGTATATCTAATCTCTAACTTATTCTCTAACTTGTTCTCTACCTTATTCTCTCTTAAGCTAGCGTTCTCCCCCCACCGGAGACGGAGAAATGATGAGGCCGAAACGAGGTACGACTTTGGCTTCTCATAGCGCTTACCAAAAGTTTATGAACCTACTCTCTTTTATACTTTTTTGCTCTCACATCCATCAATTCCTTCATATAATTTTTTATGCTCATACGCCATATTACATCGTACACATCCGAATTTACTCCTCGTTCTTTTGTTCTACCCCACATGACGGATGAGTAATATGCATATTTTAATAAAAACTATAAAAAAAAATAACGTGGTGTACATAGAACAGGCAAAATTACCAAAAAAAATTCTTTAATCAAGTAATCACTAAAATAAATAAATAGTAACATCATATACCAAATCTAGCCCCATCTTTACTAAGGTCAAAATAAAGAACCCTGTGGTTACATTGGGCTTTTTTTACACATCCCAGCGAATTTTTGTTTGATGATTTGCTGAATAACAGAAGAAGAAAAAGAATATGAATTTATATGGAATTATTTCTTCATTTAATTTTATCAAAAAGAAAAAGTATATATACGTATGAACATTTTTGACTTATCGACGCTTTACTTTATCACATGCATTCGTAGGTCAATGAAAACGAATTGTAAAAACGCACACAAATGGAAATGCCTTAGTAATATAAAAAACAAAGCGTATTGTTCAAAATAAAAAAACACAAGATATATTTTAGCACAGCTACCATTAATTATGCTTTAGCACGATATGCGGTTTTTCAAAAATTTTTGCATTTTACTTTTTTTTCTTTTCAGGAATCACTTAATTGATTTCAATTTGTTTAGTTTCCATATTTCACAAGGTGCATATTTTTCTATTCTGCACCATATATAAGCGAAAATAAGTATACTTTATTTCTTGCTCTTGCACACAAGTATCGTGCAGTGAGTCTTTAAGTTGATTGACTCATTTTTTCGTTCTTTTATTTAACCCAAAACCTAAGCTTGCAATACTGAGACGGACTTCGGGATCTCTTTCTCTTTTACAAATCTTTTTCTTGCGGCTGGCTGAACTAAACATAACATATATGTTAACTACATTGTCATAAAAAAAAGAGGAATATTTGGTGATCGTAGTAATTTTTGTCTAGTAATTTCCGAAAAAGCTTTATCAGATACAAGGTACTATTGATATATATAGATCTATATTATTATTGTTTATTATATATTGTCTCGTTAGTTTTCCAATGACGAGGAGATATTATTAAAAATGAAACCATCATTTCAACAAATCAAAGTAGCAAAGAAATCTTTTCACTGAAAAATATATCTATATTAACAAAACAAGGCTTTATAGGAAAGTGTTTCGTAAATTTGACAACGTTCTACAAAATGTAATTACTTTATTTCACTGCCATAAAAATTGGCTGTGATGGCACTTTAGTCTTTTCACCTTGGTCCAGATGCACTATTAATCTTTCTTTCCTTTAACCATATTGGAAGATTTTAATTATATATGCACAAAACTTTTGCATTTTGCTATAATATATTGAATACACAGACATGCATATTCAAACTCACCGGGTGGAATTTTCGAACAACAACAAAGTCTAAAATTGAAACTGGTAGATCCATAACATCCTTTAGATAAATTTTCGAACTGTGCTTTGCTAATCTTAATTAGCCTTCATATTCTTGAAAAAAAGGATTAAGCTAATTAGTTTCCATTATAGAAAGGATGATCGTCAAACTCTGTTTCTTATCCTATTGTCATACATAGATCTGTCTCTGTGCAAATGAATACAAAAGACTATTACGAATAATCTTACCAGCTTTGCTAAAGCACTAAGCGTATAAATCTGCGCGGTCGCACTTGTATTCTTGAAGATTACTTGAAGGGCTATAAGCACAAAAACAAAAATTAAGATGTACGTCAACAGCATGAGAATGAAAGTATAACCAGTTATATCTGCCTCTTCTGTATCTTCGGGCGAAAAGTCTAAAGAGACCCATTTTGAACACCAAATATTGTGATTTTATCCTGAGCTAAGGAAGTGTCTTGGTGCTTATCAATATTTTTTATATTCATAGAAAAAAGTTTATAAATTCATGCAAAAAGCATCATGAATTCAGGCAAAGAATTTCACGAAAACAATCCAGAATCAACACAGAATTAGGTTATCTAACTTGATATAATTTTTGCGAAACATATTAATTATATTATTTTATATTAACAATTGACATATTAATTTCAAAACATTTATAAATGAAATGAACATAAAGCTCTGATTTAAAAAAAAATTAAATTCACTAAATAAGTTACTAATATTATTATTTGCTTTTCTTCGTCTAGATATGTTTCTAGCAAGAGAAACATTTCTTTGTAATGTGCTAGTTTTCTTTTCAGGAGTTTTTTCACATCTTTCATAAATTTTATTTTGTCCTCTGCACTTCCGTTTACCTGTTTCCTCTTGATAATTGGCATGATTGTTTGTTTTAAAAAGGCAAACTTGGCATCATTGCCGCAGCTACATATATTACGTTTATTGCATTGCACTGCAAATTTTATATGGAGTACGACAAGACATTTCAAAAGTTTGCTTCTGCTAAGAGGTGTTGTCACATTTGAAAATTGAAGGTTCATTGGATGAAAATATGAAGCGAAACAAAATGAAACGAAAGTATAGAAACATAATGCTGGCAGTAGTCTCTGCCTAGCTTAGTGGTGAAAAGCGAAACGTGTTGATGGTTTGATATGAACATTAAATATTGAGTGAGACCTAATTCGGTTTTGACCAGAAGGCGGAGGGTTTGCACATTTTTCGATTTTCAAGTGGAAATAATCAAGGTCTAATAAAAATTAAAACGATTTTGTTATGATTAATTATAAAAAGAGCAACTATTATATAAATATATGGGGTAACACGGCAGTTGATATTAATACAGTAAAATAAACCAGTTCGAACCTGGGCAACGGACCTGTTTAGTCGTGATGTTTGGTTGCATGTTTGAATAGCTGTTTGTTTCAATCTGTGTTTGAATAGTCGCGTTGTGATGAACGCCGTATCTCTCTTCTGAGCTAGAAAAAAAAAATTGTTTAAAGCGAGTTACTTCGTCTCGGCTGTGCGTTTTGTGTTGAATTAAATCGGTATCAAATGGAAATGCAAAGAATTTCGCAATAAGTGTATTAATTTATTGCAAAAAGGTAAAAATCCATAACGATTAAATACACGTAAATTCGACACAATTTGTGTCAGGTCGTTGCCTAAATGTATTTAAATGAAAATATGACTTTTTATCCGCTCAGTGTGAAGTTTAATAGGCGGACAAATTTTCCCATCAATATATGAAATATGTGCGTGTGACGTATCACAATGACATTGATTATCACTATCATGATGAATTTTTTTTTTGTAGTTCAAGAATACGAATAAGAAAAAAATCTGATTTTATATGAATACAAAAAAGATATGCTGCAGTGTCGTCAATATTCAGAAAGAGATACAAATATACAAGCGAATACGTGTCTGCGAATGTATCTGCATGAAAGTGCCAAATAATAGTGTTCTGATAATACGAAAATTTTTTTTCCTTTTCTTAAAACAACAGGCACCACACCCTATTAAAAATTTTTGGAATTTTTTTCTGCTTTGCGCGAATATTAAATTTATAGTACGTGCATGTTTATATATTATGTGTCTGCCTGTCTGCCTTTTAAATTTATTTGATTTTTGTTTTCGAGTCTTTCAATAATTGTCTCCATTTTTCTGAGTGAGAGTGTTAAAATTTTTGGAGTGCAGATGTATAAATGTTTCTACGATATTTATTTGTGGAAAAAAGGTCAGAGCTTCATCCAAAGCAATGAATGCACTAGGATAGAAATAAAAACTAATGTGGATTATAACATTTTTACCCGAGGTAAGTTAGAAAAAAAATAAAAAAATTTGCATGTACCGTTGAAAAGGAAGGAAAACTATCGCGTATCAATAATTTCGTTTAATACAATTTTCTCTACATGTTTTTGTCAAAAAGGCTTTTAGACATGCAAGTCGATTCATAATCATTGTTTTTATCACTGTTCATCATTCTAAAGAAAAATGTGTTATTACTAAACTTTCATGTAGTAGTAAATAAACTTGTTAACTTATGTTTACGGATTTCATAAAGTATCATTGAAGCGGAATAGATTATGTCCATGCTATAAATTAGAACACTTATAATTTATGAGCTTAACACTAAAAATTTATTGTCCTCACGATAAGTTCATGTAAGGATTAATAATTTGGCGCAACAAACGCAAACATTTGTTATGAAGCTGGTATGTAATTGAAAATTATGGTAAAGAATTACGTAGTAAATCCAATATTTGAAGCAAACTGTTACGCCTATCGTACAAGATGAACGTAATTCAATACTGCTGAATATTGTCATCAGTCAGCCTCTCTAAGTTAAATCAGGAAATTTTGGATTTTAAAAAAAAGTGGAAGGTCTATGATTTTTGCACCCGCCGCCTGTATTAGTCTTGGTTGACTTTGTATTAGGTGGTCGGAATGATCATAACACATCTATCTTTTTTTATTTTTTTTTTTTTTGCGTTTTTCTGAAGACACTTTTTCGTATAAAAAACAAACAGCAACAGGTTTTAAATATTTTTGAAATATGTGATTTGCCAACTTTCCCTTCCTATATGTGATTGCTACAAATGGAGTCGAATAATCCCCGATAGTGTGTACGGCTGCAGTCATCTCATATTTGTGTTTAGTTCTACGGCTTATAAAGCGGCCTTTGATGTTGTACGAGTTTTACATGTCTACTCTAAGGCCTTACAACTGATTTTTTTTATTATTTTGAGAATATCCTTATAGGAAAAACGACACTTCTATGACCCACTTAAAGCGTGTTTTGACGGTAAAGCCATGAATGTCAAAGGTCCATGTGTACAATATTTCGAAAAATAAATAAAATTTAAGCTTAAAAATCGAGTAAGAGCATTGCAGTAGAAAGCATAAAATATGAGCGCTTAAACTAGATAAAATTCTTCAAATAAAACCTATGCGAGACTTTCATTTTCTTTTAGTATACATTCCCTTACTACGGACAAGGATTGGAAAAAAAGGGGTTGGGTGCAGGGGCAAGTCGAAAGTGTGTGTCTTCCGATAGGAGCATTCTCTGTACCTTCCACCGAACGATAATTGAAATTTAAGTCTGCTTTACGAGCGACACTGAAAGTCGAATAACTCAATTTGTTAGTCACGCTTCCCATCTATCAGACAATGCGACAATCCGTGTTAAAATTAATTTGGACGAAAGTATATGCACTGTACACTGTGTGAGAAATTGACCTTAAATTGGGCTTTTCCAGAAAATTATTTGGCTGCATATGTTGTATAGACCGTTAGCACTCATGAAAATATAAATGTGTATGTCCCTTTCGGAATTATATTATGCATTAAAAATAAATTTGTAGTTGCAATTGATCGCGGACATTTCGAGGCTAGTCTTTAAAACCGAAGCTGGTATACTTAAAGGGTCACCGTTCAGTTATCTCAAACAACAGTGAATGAAATGCTTCAAGCAAAAGCGTTAAAATAGGGTACTGTAAAGTATTTCATATATTTGTTTATTTACACATTTTAGAATTTTATTTGAATTACATTACACAAGCTGTGCTAACTTTGAATGCTCCGTGAGTTTAGTCTTTTTAATTAAAAAATTATGCAAAAAAAGTAAGAAAGGTATATTTGATGAGGGCCAAATCTCGCATACCCACCCCTATGTTTTTCGCATTCCACCCTGCATGTCTTTTTATTTGATAATCATATCGTAAGAAAATATTAATTTGCGGTGTCTATCATATTCATTTTAGAATTAACCCGCTTTTTGGCAGAGATAATATACCTTCATTTGAGGAATGTGCAAAATAATTTTAAACATTCTGTCTTGTTGTTATGATAAATAGGCCTTAAAAAAGTGAAAAAAGTAAAATTTAATTACTTGTAACTTTGTGTGGGCACGAATGATTTTTCCATTTTTAAAAAGTAGTGTTTCGTGAAATAAATGCGAAAAGTTTCAACCTTTTAACTGTTATAATTTCTGACTAACAAGCAAAGACCCGTAAATTTTGGTTAAGAAAAATGGAATTGTGTTCAGTTTATGCTCCGCTGCTCTCGATAATTGGGCCCATTTTCAATACTAACCTGCGTGCAGAAACTTACAATACTTTTACCAAATTTGGAGTCGACAGCTTCATTTTTGCGACCAGGAGAGTGGTGGCAACAGGTACCACACGGATATTCAGATAGACAGGCATTGCTTAATCTACTCACAATTGCTCACTGATCAAGAATGTATATACGATAGGTCTCATTAATATTGGATTTTTTCGCTCGACAAAAAGTAAATGCTTATTACGCCTAGTCCATTGTCCAAACATAAAAATATATATTAGTATCTTATACCATTACGCCATACATAGTCAAATAAAAAAGTCTTATTCCATTAGGCAAGAAAATTAAATAACTTCAACAACTTCAAAAGTTACTTATATGAAAAAAACCAATATTAATGACGCTATGTTTTCGAAGTTGTTGAAGCTACTTCATTTTCTTGTGAACTGGAATAATGTTGTTTGTTTTTTATGTTTTAATATGTATTCCCAAGTAGTATAAAATAGTAAAATAAATTTTTATGTTTGGACAATGGACTAGGCTTAACAAGCGTTTACTTTGTGTCGAGCGAAAAAATCCAATATTAATGAGACTCACTGTACTTTATAGCGTCTCTGAAGCTTTCTTTCGGGTGCCACATATATTATGAACAAAAATAAGGTGAGTATACCCCAATCCTTCAGTGGTGGGTATAAACAACAACAAAAATTAAAAAAAAAAACGGCATTCTATACACATAAGAAATTTAGAATGTTTGGTAGAAGATATCGTATGCACGATAATATATAACAATAATAACGGCGAGTAGATTGAAAAATGTTTCTCTTTTTTTATTGATACAAAATTTAAAACTAGCAACTGAACCACGGAAAGAAAAAATCCAATAAAATGAAATGGTAGGTACACTGTTGCCACATTTCAATTCAATAACAGCAGTAATGGCAGCTACAACTCCAACAACCACTTCATTTGAACAACTATATGAACGAGAAAGCTTTAGGCAATATAAACACGTAATGTGAGTTTAGTCAGTAAAACAACAAAATAAACGAATGAAACGAATAAATGTAAGCGCAGGCATATACACACGTTCTCACCTTTGAAGGCAAATACAATGTTGCCAAATTTATGTTGGCAATAACAAACGAGCAAGTCGGTCAGTCGAATTGTCACGTTGACTAAGTCACAAAATGTTGTATAGACAAGAAAAAAGCATACAAACAACATTAAAAACTTAAAAAAAAGGCAAAAACAAGGTAGCGAAGCAAAAAGGGAAAACAATAGCGAAAATAAATCAGAAGAACAAGCATTAAATACAAATGGAAAACTAAAAATGTTACTGAGGTGCGCGAACAATGTAGAAGCAATGACATACTGTTACAGCTGTATTATGAATTTTGCTGTTATTATTGTCGCCGCCGTCGCGTAGTGTTATTATTCTTAATATTCTTGTTGTTATTATTGCTGCTGTCGTTGTCATTGTTATTATTATTATTATTGTTACTCTTACTTTGTTGCTTGTTATTATTGTTGCTCATGCTTATAATGATGACGACCGTCAATGAAGACCTAAAAAGCAGTATGACAAAACTATATTACACGACATGAAAAGCGAGAGAGAAAGATTGAGAGAAATCGAAGCATACATACGTGCATATGCAAGTAGACATAGCTTGACGTAAACCAAACGTATATAAATGTGCTTGCCTAAGTGTTTGGGTGTTCGAATACATTGAACTACCGGGCAGGTACATAAGCATAAATAGAGAGATGAACAAAGACGTTGTTAATAAATTAATTATTAAACGAATCGAAGAATCAAACAAATAATTTATTTATATTTGAACTCGGCTCCTAAAAACTAATAATGTATATAATATTAAAAACAAGAGAGGTGTGACAGAAAGTCGGTTTGGTTTGGTCTTTCTTGCGATCTACTTGAAATGTGGCAACGTTATGTTTGCAAACCTAGGAAATTATAAACAGCAATGAAATAAATCGACACTGAAGATAATTTCACTGTTAACATAGAACTAAGCAAACTTTGCAAGTGCATGAGAGTCTACATGTTAAGCGAATACCCTCTATATAAAGGGCTTTTATATAGCTTAGAACCGTGCTATTAGATATACCCGTAAGAAGAAGGAGCAATACGAATTTACGATATACAAGTAGATCGCCTTCCAAACCACGTGAGAAGTCCCGGGGCTTTTCCGCAAGTGACGTCATTAATCACATCTCAATATGACTTACAAAATACCATTATATATGAAATATTTATGTTTAAGGTGGGATCATTGCTTATTTTGAACTAAAAGTGCCTTTCCAAGCGTTGAAAATCATGTAAAATCCGGCTCTACAAAAACTGCATTTCCTCGATGTTTCAGTAAATTTAAAATTCAGCCACATAGGCATTAATTATGTTTTTCGTTTTTCAATTTTGAAAAGTTTTACAATTTAGTTGAATAAGTGTAACAAAAATAATTATCATTCCAAGGAAATGAAGGAATCATTTTAGAAAGCTTTTGCATGGATCATTGATGCTGAATTTGCCAAAAACGATCTGACGATTAAGTACACCATATTAAGTTGTTTCACCGCATCTTAAATTAATTTTTGTTCTTGTATTGTTGTATAAACCACGCAAACATTAGTGAGAGAGTAATTGCAATAAAAAATCTGGAAAATCATTGGTCGCTTTGGTTTACAATACGGTATTCATTGAATAGGCTGAATTAAAAAACCCGTAAC